CATTATTATGATTCAAAATTTATTCCAACTAATAATCTATTATGAATATTTGGTTTCCAAATGTACGTAAACCTATACGAGTAGAATTCTTCTGAAAGAGATAAAATGCTATTGAAGTAAGTATACCTAAAGTATCCAGTAGTGTGAAGTCGATCAAGCCAAAATTGGGCCTCGCGATGTACCTTGATGTTGATTCTTGATGCCCCTGTGACTGTCGTTGCTCTTCCTCGTTTGAATATATTTGATTCCCATTCACGTTAGGAAAGGCAGTAGTAAGTTCTGAACCAGAGCCGTTTGCTCCTTCGTTAAATACGTGACCGTTGCCATTAACTGGTGGCTTATCCCTCTTTTTATTAGAGTAGTTAGTTGACATTCTCTTATTTTTTTTTTTTTTTTTTTTTTTTTTGACGGGGAACTAGGCTAGAGTTGCTGCAATATTTTGTCCAGTTCTATTACTATGATATATGTGTCACCATATGCAACTAATAATGATGAAACACAACATGATTATGACTTGGACGAAGTTTATAAAGTCAAAAGGGTAAGCGGAACCTCGACAGTAGGGATAGTCGTTAGGCTGGTCACGGGAATTCCATAAGATACTCTACTTCCAAAGTTAGTAAAGATCTTCATGTACCGGAAAGCGCGTGAAGATTTGACAAAAAGAATATGACAATGGGGAAAGATGTTTTCCCACAGCCCTAAAATAATGACTCGTTTTTCTTAAAAACTCTTTATTTAATTCGCCCCAACTTCAAGATCTGTGAATGGTCTTGTCATAAATACTAAATCATAGGGGGTTATTCATCCGCTTGTTACCGTTACCTTTATACGTAAGCACGTATCAAGCAAAACATGTAATCCCGTGATAAGTACGTCTATACGCAGACTCCTGCCTCCCTTCATTACAGTAACACGATCTAAATAATACTGGGTATATTTCAAATTTGTTGCAAATTTATTGGTTATATACAATAAAAGACCCGGTATAAATCAAATCAAACATGTTTAGTACTGTAGGAGAAATAAAAAAAATTACAGTAACTATTTTTATTTCTATATTCTACTAAGCGTATCGCAAATATTATGAGTGTATTATATGTTAAATTGTATTTTATTAATTTTACACCATTTAGTTTTAAATAGGATAATTGTTATCTTCGTAATTATGAACATTTATATAATTCTTTTTACGTCAAATTAAAATTTGTAAATTAAACTTTTTGGTTAATATACTGAATGAAATTAATAAAAGTAGAAATTAACTAAATTTACTCATAGAATATATACCCGGATATAAGAAAAATATATACAGTATATATAATCTTTAAAGTTAATAAGTTAGTAAGTTAGGATTAAAAGATATACAGTCAAACCCCTCTATAGCCGCCTCCTCTATAGTCACAAAATTAGTACAATTACAAATTTATTTTTACCAATTATTTATAACTATATATATATATATAGAAAATATCTCTATATTAGTCACACCTTTTTATAATCACAGTTTGTTGTATCCCAAAAAGCACTATGCGTGGCTTTTTTATTAATAACATTTTAAAATATTAATTTTTTTTTATATCGGGTATATGTATATATCCATCTAGTGATAGTAGTCGATCACAAAAAATTCACTTTAGTTGGTTAATATAATTATTAATAAAGTCAACTAGTTGATTAATATTCTTAGAATTTTTTTTTATATTTTAAATAGTTTTGTTTTTGCTAGCATATTATTAGATGTTAATTCTTAATATTATATTAAGTACTAAAGTACAAAATTATTTAATTTTAATTTTAAATTTAACTCTATTTAGTTATTTTAGGAACGTGACAAAAATCATGTGATTTTTTAGGGGGGAGAAGGGTAAAAAAAGTTAAAATTATATATAAGAACCTGAATTTTTTTATATTAAGAGGGAAGAGGGTAAGCCTCTGATAAAAATAATCAAATAATAAATAACACTACCCTTATTTTAAATACTCAAATATAGCTACTATATTATTTTATTATACTATAATTATAGTTAATGCTTGCAATTACAATATACTATTAAACTACTATAATTAAATAAAACCCTAAATATTTATAACAGTATTGGCATGAGATAGCTTTAAACAAATTGTAAATAATTATAAACAATTTTGAATAAAAAAAATATTTAAATTATGGTGCAGAAAGTCTTAACTCTCCAATATAATAGATGATCTTTAAAATC